AATGGCTTCTCTTTGTGGAAGATGCAACATTTCTTAGAACTCTTCTTCTGCATGAACTCGTTGTCCACAGTCCCGTCTTTCCATGAAACTTTCTTCTTCTTCCTGTTCAACCGAAGCACTAATCTCTCAGTCGGTTGTGATTGAGAAACAGGGTTTTCTAATATGACAGAGGTTGTCGCCGAAGAAGAAGGCCTCGTCGCTGTACTCATAGCTCAAGATAGCTTTCGAGATCCTGCGTTTGGGAGACAACGACAAAAAACGATCAATTCTTGGCTTGTTCAAGACTTGTTTTCTTTGCTCTCTAGTAGATTAAGTAAAGCCAACATATCCAATGAGGAACAAGAACATAAGAAAAAACTAGTTCCTAACAGTAAACAAACATGCTTAAACCTAAAACATGTAAAAGTTCATCATTGAATGAAACGGTCATGAACGAATGACAAGAGCTATATGGGTTCTAAAGCTGATTCTAATAAGAACGAATACAGAGAAACCTCAAGGAAACTTTTGAAGCACCTTCATAGGAAGCAAATGTTTCACAAAAGTGAAATAATTCATAGAAACAAAATCCAATCCTAACCCAAATGGTTCAAGATGAGGTTTGCTTGAGTTTCATGTTTTTTTGGGAAACATGTACCATTTAGCAAAATCTAACCTTTTAAATTGGATTGACACCACAAAATCGTGAACCCAGAACAGAATTAGGGTTCGTTCTTCAGCTAAAATCAAACAGATCCTATCTCTAACCTCAAAGTTCGTTCCTTTCGAGATCTGAAACCTAATCACAACAATCCAATTCTCACTCCGATCATCGGTGAGATTAGATTGACCCAACAAATAACAAAATCTTGCAGTTAAGAAAAAAAGTTCTCCTAGGGATGATTTCGACGGCTCGAAACAGCCCTAAGTGATATCGAGACCTTAATTTCTAGCAAAAGAATAAAAGATTCAATAGAAAGAAAAATCGAAGCAAACCTTTGAAATCGTAACCTTTTTGTTCTACGATCTCCCAAACTGTTTCAAGGAAGAAGAAGAAGAGAAACTTTAATGAAGAATTTTAAAGAGACTCTGGACAATAAAGAGGGTCTCATTTAATACAAAATTGACAATTTATAAGACTCTGTAAGAAAAAAAGAGACTTTTTTTTTTTGCAGAGGAAAATGGAAATTAATTTGGTCACATCTCTCTGTCTTTGGCTTTCAGCCACCATATCCCCATGAATGATCCTTCGTCTCTCCACCACTTTTCTAGTGGAGAATTCTTAAAATCTAATAAGCAAACTTGGAGAAAAAGATAAATCTTTTCTCTTATCAGATTAAGATTGTTAAAACTTCCGATGAGATTCATAAAATTTCCATTTTTCTTTTGTTGCAGAGGAAAATGGAAATTAATAGAGTAGTGCCATCGAGCTCTGGATCTCTCATCGGAAGTTTCAACAATCGTAATCTGATTATGTGCTGTTGACATTTTAGTTCCTGTGTTTCTCTCTGTCCTAACAATAATGAAGTTCATATCTTTAAATCATCACAAGACCAGTGAGAGAGAGAGGTTACTTGTCCTCCAAAAGGTGAAAACTTTTCTGTTTTTATTCGAAACTAATGAGAGTATGCAAACTTTGTTCATCGTTTCTCTTATTGGGAATTCCACTTTGAATCTCCCTTAGAACATATTCATGATGATTTATTGTTTGAACTTTGTTATGTTTTTTTTTTTTTTCTAAATCCATCTGTTCATTGTGTTATGTTTTCAGTTTTCCAAAGCATTTGGGAAATTCTATACAGTCAATCAAAGTCTGCAACGGCCAACGATGCCTCTAAATCACGCGGAGGCGTTTATGATAACTGCACAAAGTATATAGTATGGCTTAAGCTAAGTTTGCCTTTACCAAATCATTTGTAAAAAATAGTGTGTATTTCTTTAGAGCCTGAACCGTAAATTTACCTGAAACTTGCAGCTCCATTGTACCTCTGATTTCATGTATTCCTTCATTGAATCTTCCGATTAAATTCTCAAAAAGCCGACAGATTCATTTGCTCGCATATCGGTTTGTTATATGGAATGTGGAGAACTTGGCCATTATATCACTTTGTTGTAAAGCCCTCTAATGGTATGACAGTATTTTCTTGAAATGGCTGTAGGATGATCCTTCTATCACTACCAGCAACTTAACTGTGGTCTAGGAGCTGACTCTGAAGAATTCTCTAAGGTATATTTTTCGGTTTTTACCAAGTTCGAGCAAACATCTTTGATACTTAGGTATCTCAAACATGTATGTGTGTTTGAACCTTGTGCTTACTACTTGTTAATACCATAATCAGGTTGCTAATTACATGGAGAACACTCATGCAAAGACGATACACAAGTTGAGATTGCTCAACTATTTAGACCTTCGAGAGCTTTTGAAGCTGTTGAGAGATGTTATAGTGGTAACAAGCTTGTCCATACTTAATCAATTACTCTGATTTATCATTAAGTCACTGTGAAACTTTAATTTTTCTTTCTAGTTCTCAAGTTTGAAGAACATGATGCTACTCGGGCATGGGTCACTAATATATCTCAAGGTAACCGGTTTCTCTTCTTCTTTGTTTTGGTTTTCTATCAGTGTTGCCTTTCTTCTTCTCCCCTTGAGGGATTTTCAATTGCATAGTGAAGCGAAGTACAAGGAGACACCAAACAGGTCTTCGGATAGCTCCTCGTGAAGGGCGTGTAACTGGTTACATACATGTTTGGAAAAGGAGTTTACTTTGCCGATATGTTCTCCAAGAGTGCGAACTATTGCAACGCTAATAGCGGTGCTATCGACAGCGTTCTGCTCCTCAACGAGATATACTCTCTTCTTTGCTCTAGCTCATTTCATTTGGAAAACAACAAAATGGTCCTATGTATTAACATGATCTCTATAGCATTCAACATAACTGGTTTTTTATGTTTCCTTATAATGACGAAAACTTGTCTAGGTTGCTTTGGGAGACATGAATGAGAGCTTCTATATTCGGATTGCCATGGGAAAGATTTTGTATAAAAGAGCGTTTTCTCACCAAAGAAAATTTCAAAAGCATTTAACTACGAATATAGACATTTTTGGAGGCGGAATACACTTTTATTTGCTTACAAACTAAGATTTTTCAAATTTTTATACAAAATTCATTAATGTTTTATATTTTTTTGTGATTTGAACGATGCGATTTGAAAACTACCGCCGATAAAAGGCAAAATCAAAAGGTAAATCTTATCATTTTCAACGTTGCGATTTGAAAATGTTAGCTAAAACTGGTTTGCAAGGATGAGATTTGAGAATAAAGGCTAAAAGTGTACGGCTTTAAGAAAAAAATCTGATCTGGTTGACGTGATTTTGTCTTTGTGTGTTTGGTTGATGATGTTGGTTACTACGTTGTTTCAACATGTTCACATGAACAATAACTTCGGAATTGTTTCACTTTGTAAACTACAACAAATAAGGCCTTAATTTCTTGGTTTATGTAGTGACTTTTACCAATCAATTTGATGAACTATTCAAACGTAAAAATCAACTTTTTAAGTGTGTTCATAGGGTCCAAAG